CTCTTCAGCCAGGTGACAAGCGCCAGCAGCAGGAAATTGACTATAGACCCCGTGGTGGAGCAGGTGATGCAGACTTTGGTTCTAGGGGCCACATTGGCCTCATTGAGCACGGCCCGTATGACAGACGGTATGAGAGTGGAAGAGATGTTGGGAGAGAGAGAGTTGTTGACGTGAGATTTCAGACTGGCCACAAGAGCCCCGAAGTGCTCCGGGCGGTTGATAGACCAGACGCAGACCGAGAGCATCCCGCGGCGCCCAGCGTAAGTCACGGCTGCTGTCTGTCCTTTGCTCTGGGCCTCGGTGCTGCCTGCAGGCTGCGCTTCACTCCTACCTGCACCGTTAGTTTTGTCACTGACGGTATCATTACTCACATCTCCCCCTCGCTGGTCAAGGTTAGTCCAAGCTCCGTACGCTTCTGCCTCGGGGAGAGAGGGAAGGCTCACTGAGGGCCGGGCCGGCGGGAGCTGAGTCGTGGCTGGAAGAGGGGGCGGGATCAGGAACCTCACCTTCCCAATCTTCTGTATCATTGGCTGGTGACTGCTTTTGACCTGCAGAATGGTGAGGCCTTTTTCCCACCATTATTGAACATTTAAAGGGACATTTCCTTTTTGTGTGTGTGTGTTTATCCTCACCCAGGGATGTTTTTCCATTGATTTTTAGAGTGGAAGGGACGGGGAGAGACATGGATTGGTTGCCTCCTGCACATGCCCGACTAGGGCTGGGGTTTTACCCGGAATCGATCCTAGGATCCTTCAGTCTGCAGGCCAACGCTCTATCCACTGAGCCAAAGCAGCTAGGACGACATTTCCATTTTTGTTTGAGGCAGGAATTTGTACTGTCATTTGCAAAGTTTAAGTTGTAAGTGTAAACCTTTGAAAAATAGTACGAACACAGTAGAGCTGAGGAAGTTATAGATTCCCTTCCTACGCAGTGCCTTATAAGCAGAAATATCTGCATGGAAAACTCAGAGGTGTCCTTTCAGCTTTAAGAGTTAATGTCTATCTGTCACTCATCCCGGGAATCCTCCTGTGACTTCCCATCACACCTCACGTGGAGTGGAAGCCAAAGTTGCCACCGTGGCCCAGGGCCATCTGCCCACGCCCACCCCTTCCTGCTGACCCCCCCCCCCCCCCCCCCTGCTGCGCTCCTGACTTGTCCTCGAGCTCAGAGCCTCCGAGCCTGGTAGTCACCATCCGGAATCGTTCCCCACAGCCACCATCTCTTCACGCCTTTACTCACCGAGCCCCTTTCAGACCAGCAGTCCCACCCCCTCCGCCCCCTTCCGGGTGATGCTTTGCTAATTGGTTTGTTGCCGATTCTCTCCCCAACCTAAAAGGAAGTCCCGGTGAGGGCAGGGTCTTCCTGGCCTGTCCCTGCAGTGTCCCCAGCAGATGCTCAGCAGATGCTTGTCAGATGACTTACTCTCACCAGGTCAGGAGTTCGCAGTCCTGGTCCCCAGGCCTGACCACACCGTGTCCTCCGTGTCCCGCTCCTCCGTGTGGTTCCTGGAGGCTGACCATTTGTGTCATTACAGTCCAGCATTAGAATTCAGACTTGCATGGACACTTGTTGGACATGATTACCAGCCTTTCACATCGTTACGGAAACAGTTGAAACAAGATGTACTTCTGTGCTTTCTAGGCCAGAGAGACTGATGGAGCCCCGGAAGGAAGTGCACCCCGGGAGGAAGCGCACCCCAGGAGGAAGGCAGAGGGCAGCACCGAGAGCAGCCAGCGTCCTGAGCCCGGCTCTGGCCAGGGGGCGCCAGGGGTGGCGGAAGATCCTGCAGCGGGAAAGGCCCCACTCAGGACTCAGGACGAAGGCAGCCCCGAGGAGGGCGGCACGCCCCACCCAGCGAGCACGTCCATCCCGGAAGCAGGTGGGAGGGACCCGGCCAGCAGCCCATGAGGCTGGAGGAGCCCTGACTCCACCACAGCTTGGAGGCCATCTTTTTGTGAAGAATCTTGTAATGTACACTCTTCACAACTGTTTACTACAGATTTCTGACATTTACTCCAAAAATGTGCCAACTTAAGCATTCATATTTTTACTGGCAATCAGAATAACACATGTATTTCTGTTCATTTAACTTCTTTTATCTGTTTTATTATGTATTCTCTTTGATGTTAAGATACATCCCATAAAGTTTTGAAGTAGTAATTGCGGAACAGGATCTCATAGGTGAACAAGTATGGCAGGCAGTACTAATTCCCAATAATTAAGGAAGCCAGTGGGAATGAGGGACATTGAACAAGAAGTTTTCTTGTTTACAGGCACATACGGGAGCCCGGTAACCAAGGTGTGTGTTGCCTGGTGGGAGTCCTGTAAGACCTACCTCAGTCAGGAGACTGATTTGTTCGCTGTGCAGGCACCCCAGAGGGCCAGGGACTCACAAACCGTTTTTAAGGAAAGTCCACTCTGCGTGTCCTTCAGCATCTCCTGGGCCGTGGCCCGCACTACAGCATCCGTGTCTCTGCAGGCGGCCCACCCGTCAGAGTGGCTTTGTAGCCTCACGTTCTACTTGCATCTCTCAACCCGCAGCTGTTGCGGGGACTGTTTTCTCGTCACCCCTTTCACTCTCCTGAGACAGACTGGCGATGGCGGGACTTTGGGTAGCAGCGTGTGAGGTAATCTCAGCTCAGGTAGGGAGTGGGTCCGGAGTGGCTGTTTCCCCCGCGCGGTGAAGGGTGCAGACTTCGGAGGCCCGTGTGCCTGGCTGCTCAGAACCCCAGCAGCGCGGACTGTTAGCTGTGACAATTTCTTCCTTACATCCTAGCAAACCGTGTGGTCAGGGCCGCAGAAGTCCTCATTTTTAGAGGTTGCACATAGAGAAGAATACCATGGGGAAAACGGAATAGGCGTTTTTCCTAACGACAGACAAGTGATAAATCAGCGTTTTAAATTAGTAATTCTGAGTTTTAAAACTATTCCTCATTTTAAACTGGGAAAAAAAAAACTTGTGTATTTTGCTGGTTGGTACCTAGCTAGAAAGCAGATTTCACATACATTTACGAGTCCCTTGTTTTAACGTTCACACTAAAAGTTACGTTCAGCTGCTCACTCAGAACGATGCCAGTCGGGAATAGTCTTAAAGGTACCCTTCAGGTGTTTGTTTCAGAAAAAAAGACTTATTCAAAGCATTTGCTTTCTGATGGTTTTTAAAACTTTTTATTTTCCACCTACAGCTTTCATTTAATAATGTTTGTATTAGTTGCAGGTGTACAGCATAGTGCTTAGACAAGCATATACTTTATGAAGTGGCCCCCTAATATTTCTAGTACCACCTGGCACCGTACGTAGTCATGGCAATATTATTATTACTCCCTATGCTGTACTTCTGGTATGTTTTTTACATGAAATCTAGTTTAATATTGCGGACATCTTTAGTATTTCTTCAGAGAGATGGTAATTTTTTCCAAGAAATACACAAAGAATTGTATATAAAAATTTAGAACACTAGGTACGTAGCAAGTGAACGAAGGACCGGGTGCCCGCGGTTTGGAGTAGATTTGGTGGAACGAGACCTGTTGGCTGAGGGGACCTGTTCCGGGTGGAGCTGCCCTGAGCCTGGTCCGTCGAAGGGAACCGAGGGCCTCAGGTGGCCGCCTGAGCAGAGCGCGGGCGGAGCCGGTGCCTCCTGCCTCCTCGCTGCTGTAGCCGTCCCAGCAGCTCTGCCCACAGCCTCTAAAAGCTCATCTTTGTGTTTACCTGACAGATGGCCATTTGGGGATGAGATCGACTTGGACCGCCAGCAAGGCAGCCAGCCTGCTGTTGGCGGCAGTGCAGGGGAGACTCACTAGAGCAGGTGGAGCGTGCCCAGGCCAGTTTGTGATAGAAGGGGGAGGCCTGCCGATGTCCAGCCAATGTGATCACTAATATGAAGGCTGAGAGGGACGTGCTTTTAGGAGAATCAGAGTGGTGTTGGCCGTTTTTAAAAGCAGGTTTTAAATGGGATAATGTTGAATGTTTACAGGGTCTAAGAACTACCATATATACACAATAAACACTTATTTTTATATTACCCGGTTGGTATGCCTATCTTTGCTCATTCAATATTCTTATAAAGACCCATGAAACTCATGTGCACTTTTTAAAAGGAGGCAACTCTAGGACAGTATACCCCGTACAGAACATGTACACTATAATACAATCCAGGGGTTACCTGAGTACTTTTGCTAAAACTTCTGACAAGAATAATGTGTTGTCACCCCCTCCCCCCAACGCTTAATGTAATTTCCGATTGTGTAACTTTCTTTTTTATTTTTTTAAACCGTGGCCATTTGGAGTAGTTCTCACTGTTTGCCGATCAGAACTACCTGGAGGACTTTTAGAAAGAGCCCCGGATCCCGGCTGTGCAGCCAGCAGCACCCAGAGGTGAATGCGTTCCGTGTGCTCGGGGTGGGGGCGTTCACCTGGCACTTCGCGTCAGGGTCAGGCTCTGCTCTGTCCTTTCTCGTTTTGCTGACCTTTCTTACGTCGTGTCCTGTGATGTGTTGTTACTTGTCCTTGTGAACACCTTCCCACTTCTGGGAAGAGGCTTAATGACAAGTGAGGTCCTAACCTATGTCTTTCAGACTGAAATCTTACGAGTTTTTATCTGTTTTCTGTTTTTGTGACATGACCACATAGTTGCTTTTTAACTTTAGGTCCTAAAAAGTTTCACAGCAGTACTTTGCAATAAATACAATTTTGAACCATGCATACATCCATGTCTGTACCTACATGGATGTATATGGTCACGTGCCACGTAAGGATGATTTGGTCCACAACAGACGACTTACACAGCGGTGGCCCCATAAGATTATGATGGAGCTGAAAATCCTATCGCCTAGTGACATCACGGCCATTCTGACATCATAGCGCGCCCAGCTCCTCCGTGCGCCATCCAGGTCGGCGTAAGCGCGTCGGCAGTGCTCGCCTCCTGAGGCGTTTCTCAAGAACTCCTCCCGTCGGTAAGTGCACATGCTGGTATTTTTTTTTAATTAAACAAAGAGCCCAAAACAAGCTAAAAGAAGTTTATTTCTTAAGAGTCTCATTTATAATGGCTTTGGCCCAAAAATATATTGAAAACAGATTTTGTTAGAGGGGGGAAACCTAGATTTTTTATGGGACTATTTTATATAACTACACATTGGTCGAGCAATTTTTTCTAGACAACATATTTTCTCTTTATATGTTAAGTATAAAAAAGCCATTGTCAATGGAGCGCTTAAAAATACGATCTCAGAAAGGGGACTAGAGTCGTCGGGGTTCGTCTAACTTTCTACTTGACGCACCGAGGCCAAGGACGAACGAGCTGCCGGAGGACAGTCCCCGGCAGCATCACGGAAGCTGGGGAAGCACCTTCTCGGCCGCGTCCACAAAGCACGTGAGTGTCCATGTGCACACGCTGCACGTACACGCCGAGTGTGTGCGCCGCCCTCAGCCTGCATGCTGTTACATGCCGCAACCCCTCCTTTCCAGGAAAGAGAAGTAGGTGCAGCTCCTGAACAGCGTTCTGAGGGGACAGGGTCACTTTAAAACATACGTCCATAGTAACTAGGGGCTTATTTTCTTCCTGAATTTTTAAGATCCAACAGAGCATCACTTTGCAAGCAGCCCTTCAGCCCAAGTGTAGCGTCTCTGTTTTGATCTCTTTGTAAAAGAACTCTCTGTTCATCCATCCTTTTCGCCTGAGACCGTAAAATGAGGCTAAAAAAGTCCTCGTCTGGTACCGTTGGCCCCTTTGTGGCAGCGGGGGGAGGCGCACATCTCTGGTCGTCTAGTCTGGACCCCTGAAAGCAAGGAGAGCGATTAGCACCCAAGTCGTGCAGGAGGAGAGCATGTCTCTCTCACCAGGAAATGCAGCTGAAACCTAGCAGTTTCTTTTAAAGGCTTGTACCAAGTGTCCCTTTGGTGAGATGGAGACACAGGTTGTAATCTTCCCACAACGGGCAGGGACAGCGCGGCTCACCAGGGCCTCAGATTCTCCCCCAGGGCCCCGCCCGCCGCACACCCGGGTCCCTCCTCTCCTCTCCACGTCCCCCAACACTCAGGCTCCTCAGTCCCTAGGCCTCAGCAATCAGCGCCCACGGTCATAGGCCAGACTGTCGTCATCAACAATTGCACCATCTTTAAAATTGGGATTTCGCGCATCCCGGGCTGGCCACTGCCCGTTTTTCCAAACCGTCCTCTCTCGTACTCCAGTAACTTTTTAAAAATGTGCTAAACATAAAATGTACCATTTTAACCGTATTTATAGGAACAGTTTAGTGGCATTAAGTTCACTCATGTTGTGCAACCATCACACCATCCATCAGAACGGTTTTCACCCTGCAAAACAGAAACTTGAACCCTTTTAAACAGTAACTCCCAGCCCCTGCAGCCCCAGTGCACTTTCTGCCTCTGAGTGTGACTGCTCTCAGTTCCTCATGAGCAAACCGCACCGTGTTTGTCCTGGTGTGACCGCGTGTTCCGCAGCATGTCTTTAAGGTTCACACATCTTACAGCACGTGTCAGGATCGCCTCCCTAACGCGGGAAAATGCTCCATTCTGTCTGTCACCACGTTTTGTCCATTAGCCTGTGGTCGGCAGCTCATGTTCCTGCAGGTGTCCATTCTGAAGTAGGTTGTTGGGTCATGTGGTAATTCTATATTTTTTTCTTCAACTGCCATACTGTTGCCAACAGCAGCTGCACCATTTTACATTCTCTCACCTGCCGGGCACAAGGGTTCCAGTTTCTCCACATCCTTACCAGCATGTGTTCTGGCTTTTTTGGTAGTTGCCATACTAAGGGTGTGAGGCAATATCTCATTGTGTTTTGATCTGTGTTTCTCTAATGATCTGGGATGCTAAACAGCTTTTCCTGCCATTTGTGTATCTTCTTTGGAGAAATCTTATTTTTGGAAGGCAGCTATGCTCACCACTATACCACCAACGCCGCACAGAAATCTTATTTTTGAATCGGGTTTTTGGTTGAGTTTTTGGAGTTCCGAATATTCTGGATTAATCCTTTCTCAGTTATGTTGCTTGCAGATATTTTCTGTGGTTGCTTTTTTACCTGTTGACAGTGTCCTTGGATGTATGGAAGCTTTACCTTTTGTTGCCTGTGCCTTTGGTGTCATGACCAGGAAATCATTGCCAGACCCAGTCCTGTGAGGCTTTCCCCTTAGTTTTCTTCTAAACGTTTTACAGTTTTAACTCTTACCTTTAGGCGTTTGATACATTTTGAGTTAATTTTATATATGGTTTTAGGTAAGTGTTCAGCTTTTGCACATGCTTACCCAGCTTCTTTTTATTTGTTGATAAGACTTCTTTCACCATTGAATGTTCTTGGCACCCTTGACAAAATCATTTGACCGTGTAAGTGAGGGTTCTCCCCCTTTTACATCCACACTCCAAACTAATGTTGACACAAAATGAAAGAACATTCAACTCTGGAATATTTATCATAAAACAAAGATCATGACAATCAGATAAGTCAATCCATGTGTGATGTGTTTTTAAATTTCACTTACTTTTTTTAAATATATTTTTTAATTTTTAAAATCACTTTTTTTGGTATTTTGTTACTATTTCCTTTTAGTATTTTCTATTAAATATCAGGTAAAGATCATTTTTACATGTAATTGGAATGTAATATCCTATATCAATAGATATATACATAATAAACCATGCGTTTTTTTCAAAGAGGGTTCTCTATTCTATTGGTCTATATGTCTATCTTTATGCCAGTACTGCAGTTTTGATCACTAGCTTTGTAGTAAATTTTGAAATCACTAAGTGTGAGCCCTCCAACTTTGTTTTTCTTGTCTATGTTCCCTTGAGATTCCACATTAATTTTATAGTAGATTTTTCTATTTCTGTAAAAATGTCACTGAAAGTTTGGTAGGAATTGAATTGACTCTCTAGATCACTCTGGGTGGTAATATTTTTGACAATATTAAGTCTTCCAACCCATGAACACCAACATTTATTTGTCATTATTTCAGAAATATTTTGTAGTTTACATTGTACAAGTGTATTACCACCTTTTTATTCTTTTTGATGCTATTGTAAGTGGAATTATTTTCTTAATTTCCTTTTTGGACTATTCATTGTTAGCATAGAGACACAACTGATTTTTGGGTGTTGATTTTATCTCCCGTTACTTTGCTGAATTTGTTTCTTAGTTCTAACGTGTGTTTTTTGTTGTGAAATCGTTAGGATTTTCTACACAAAGACCTGTCATCTCTGAACAAAGGTAATTTTACTTTTCCTTTCCAATTTGGATGCCTTTTGTTCCTTTCTCTTGCCCAACTGCTCTGGGTAGAATTTGCAGTTCGATGTTGACTAGAAGTGGGCATCCTTGCCTTGTTCCTGATGTTAGGAAAAAAAAGCTTTCAGTCCTCTACCACTAATTATGATGACAACTGTGGGTATTTCATAAATGACTTTTATCGTGTTGCAGTATCCTGATATTCTGAGTTTGAATGTTTTAATGTGTTGAATCTTGTCAAATGATTTTATTCATCAATTGAGATAATTGTGTGTTATTTATTTTTACATTTTATTCGTGTGGAGGATTAGATCAGTTTCCATACATTGAATCAATCGTGCATTCCAGGAATAAATCTGTTGGTTGTGGTATATAATCCTTTTAATATGCTGCTGAGTTCTGTTTGCTAGAATTTTGATGATTTCTGAATCTATATTAAAAAGGATATTGGTTTGTAGGGTCCTGTTAGCTTTGGTACTAGGGCAATATATTGGCCTCAGAATGACTCCTAAGTCACAGGAAGGGTTCTCTTCAGTTTTCTGGAAGAGTTTAAATGTTCAGTAGGATTCACCTGTGCAGGCGTCAGGTCTTTGATTACGGATAGAATCTCCTTAGAAATGATGGCTCTACTTTACATTTCTTCATTATTTTCTTGGACAAATAACTAGAAACACAAAACCATCTCACCTAGGTTATCCAACTTATTGGCATATATTCATAGTATCCTATAATTTTTATTTCTGTAGAAGCAATGTAATGTCCACTTTCATTTCTGATTTTAGCAGTTTAGGCCTCATCTTTAGCTAGAGGTCAGCCTTTTCAAAGAATCAGCATTTGGTTTTGTTGATTTTTTCTCTATTTTTGTTATATTTCTGCTCTCATCTTTATTATTTCCTTCCTTTTAATGTCAGCAGCATTTACAGCTGTAAGTTTTTCCCAAGCCCTGCCTCCTGTAAGTTTTAGAACACTCTCTCTAGGTTTTCTGATTTCTCTTTAATTTCCTAATTGGTCCAGTTTTCCTTGTTATTGCTTCTAACTTCATGCCATTGTGGTTGGAAAAGATGCTTGTATGATACCTAACGTACAGTCTACCTGGGGGATGTCCCTGTGCACCTGGGAAGAGCGTGTTCTAATGTGTCTACTAGACCTGGGTGGTTTACTGGTTGTCCCGTCCATTAGTGAGAGGGTGGGTACTGAAGTCTCCAACGACTGCTGCAGAAATGCCCCTCTCCTTTAACTGTCCGTGTTGGCTTCAGTATTTCTTGGAGCCCTGGGATCACGGCTTCTTTTCACATTTCACTTCCTTCTCCGTAGATTCTAAACCACTAGAATATGCTTCTCTCCCTTCTACCCTGTTCTCCAGGCAAAACACCAACCTTGGTTAAAGCTCTCTCCTTCAGCTGCTGTGACTGGAGAAGACGCACAGCAGCCCCGACATAGTTCAACTCCAGTGAGTCCTCAGCACAGGCCGGCAGTCCTGTCCCTTTCACTGCACTCAGGCTTGTAGTTTCACAGAGTGTTAGCTGTGCTCCACTTCCTTTCTTTTCAGCTTATGGCCCTCTTACTTACTCTGCTGAGAAACGATTCCTGCTGGCTCCCACCCCCGGGTGTGTACACTCCGCCTCCTTCAGTTACTCCTCCTCCTCTCTACTACCTCCCATGTTCCCAACCCACTCCATCCTTTGTCCCTATCATGTCACTAAAACAGTACCTTTCAAAATCACTAATCTCCCTGTTGCCAAATCTAACCATCATCTTAGCCATCATCTTACAAGGCTTTTAGCAGCACGTGACACAGGCGAACATCCTTCAAAACCCCTGCTGCGCGTGGCTTTACCCGCTCAGGGCTTCCGGCTCTGGCTGGTTGCAGACATTCCTCTATCAGTTGGATTTGCAGCGCCGAGTCCTCTGCTTCCTTCTCTGCGGCTCGGGTGTCATCTCTTTCCAGGGCTTTAGTACCGTTACCTGCTGCTGACTCCCAAAGTCACTTCTCTGTTGGGGTCACACTTTCATTTCCAAATACCTTCTTAACTGAATGTCTGGTTCGGTGCCCTAGATTTACATGTGAAGGAACTCTTGCTGTTTCGACCCCGTCAGGTTTCTCCGCTGCCTTCCCCTCTGATTAAATGGCACCATCCACCCCACAGGCTGGAGCCGTCCTTGACTCTCTGTCCCGCCATCTATCTCTGCCGCCACTCTGGTCTGCCGTCTTTGTGCTGAATTGACAGGTTGGTTCCCACGGACAGCCAGGCGACCATGCAGACCCTCCGGCACCTTCCCCTCACTCACCCCCGAGACTTCCGTCTCTGGAATCTTTCATGTGGCTGATGCTTTGCCTCATTCCGGTCTCTTCAGAAATGTCTTCCCAAACCACCACACCTCACACAGACACTCCAGCCACAGCCTTTATCTCGCTGCCCGACTCACACTCTTACCCATGCAAACGTATCTAATGCCTCGCACTGTCCAGAATAAATGGGGCCAGACAGAGGAAAATGCCTCCTCTTAGTGAAAATAAGCATTATTTTCCTCTTTCCTGAAGCTCAGTGGTTAGTAATTATTGAAACAGCTAAAATGTGAAAGCTACTGCACAATGAGCATTTCTCCCATTTCTTTGAGTCTTTTCTCCACGCCACCTCACCAAACAGCCCTCCCCGCTGCAGAATCCTAATCCCGCCAGAGCCAGGCACAGCGTGACACGAACAGGCACGTACCTGACACTTGACGAGGATGTCGAAGAAGTCCTCGTCAGGCTCCTTGTCACTCGTCACCAGGTGGCCCAGGACAGACTGGTTGTTGTTTGGGGTCAGGCGCAGCCCTGGCAAGTTACTGACACTGGCCCTCTGGTCGTCCAGGCGGCGGCTCTGCGAGCTGGCCAGGAGATCCAGAAACTCGTCCGTGTTGGGGGACACCACGGAGACAGATGGTGCTACGAACAGGAAACCGCCCAAACATCAGGCATATTAGTTACAGACCCAGCTCCTTCCTGCTCGGCTCTGTCTCTGGTGGACGGGGGAGGGGATCCGGAGAACCCTAACGTCCATTGGGTGCTGCCAACGTTACTGCATTTCCCTCTTGTGCAGAGCTCGATTTACAAGGTGAAGTTGTTTCTCTTCCATAACGTGTCTGACAGGACAAGTGGGACAGTGTTCTTAGTCCACCTGGATAGGAACCATCGAGCTAATAACTACACTTAGAGTTAAGTGCTGCGGGCAGTTGGCAACCAGTGGTCCTTGAGGTCCGAAAGGTTGGCAACCGCTGCTCTAGGGCAGAGGAAGTCACCTGTTTCAGAAGTTTCTTTTCATCCAGATGGGAAGCACCTGCGTATTACATACAACTGTCGTTTTCTTCCCAACCCCTAAGGCAGTGGTTCTCAACCTTCCTAACGCCGCGTTCCTCATGTTGTGGTGACCCCCAACCATAAAATTTTGTTGCTACTTCATAACTGTAATGTTGCTACTGTTATGAATCGTAATGTAAATATCTGATATGCAGGATGTATTTAGGCGACCCTTGTGAAAGGGTCGTTCGACCCCCAAAGAGGTCGAGACCCACAGGTTAGAACTGCTGCCCTAAGAGTAGGGAGGCAGGTACACTCGGGAACTGACACCCGCCTTGTTCGACCTGCACAAATACCCGTATCTGGGCTCAGCTGTTGTACTTCCCATTAGAACTGAGTTCTCAGAAATAAATAAGGGAGCTATGAGGATTGGGAGAAGCAGAGGTAACTCACTTCTTAGCTTCACTCGCGGGGGAGTGGACGGAGCTGTGCCGGAAGCTGCCCCGCAGGTCTTGTCTTGTAAGCAGCACCGCTGGTCGTCCATCCGGTTGCTCTGAAATCGGCTCAGGAGGTCAAAAAACCCTTCCTCTCCCATCGTGTCTGCACTGAGTTTCTGAGACAGAGAGAAAAGCTAAGTCTCCCAGGTCACCAATGGAACAAGATGAAGATTAAAAATTGGCGTTTTCTTTGTAGAAGTACTACGTGATGGCAGTGTCATTACTGAAAAGCATTTGTAGTCCTTTAGTTGCTAAAGTAAGGGACCTCAGCCTCGGGGCACTGCTCCAGGTCCTGAGTGAGTCAGGCAAGTATCAGGGCAGGCACCGCCTCAGGCGGTTTCCCTCTCCCTCGGCCACATCTGCATTGCCAGCTCCTCTTGCGCTTTGGAGCCACGATGTAATAGGGCCACTAGAACACAGCACTGCGATACCTCCACAGGTGATCCGATAACCGGCTACGGAGCGACTGACAGGCAGGGAGCGTGAACACTGTGGGGACACTGGACAGAGATGGCTCACGTCCTGGGCCAGACAGACGGACAACATGAGATCTCATCACCCCACTCAGAACAGTGTGCAAACTCAGAACATGAGTTCTATTTACTCTGGAATTTTCAGTTGAAGTTTGGACTGCGGTTGATCACAGGTAACAAACCTTGGAGAGCAAACGTGGCTAAGGGAGAACTGTACTCCGAACCTTATTTTAAACATACGTACCCTCTGGGGGTTTGGAACTCGGTGCTCAATGGGATTCCTGGCATCTTGGAGAACCTTAGTGGACGTACTAGTTTTGTATTTTTTCCCCTTCAATCTGTTGACAAAGAGTAGCTTTGCAGAAGGTTTGGCAATGAGGGGTTTTTGTTTCGCAAGAATTTCACTGTTCCAGTTCTGTACCTGCAGGATTATAAACGCACATGTAAAGCAGAGCGTGAAGAAAACACCTCTGGTTTCCTAGAATATTAACCTGCCATCCACTCAGTATTGGGGGGTGAGGCTTAGACCTTTTTGTTGTGTGGTTTTTTTTAATCCTCACCTGAGGACATGCTTGTTAGAGAGGAAGGGAAGGAGAGAAGCATCGATTGGTTGCCTCCCATACGAACCGACCTGGAGCTCGCAACCTTTTGGTGTACAGGCGACACTCTAACCTACTGAGACACCCGCTAGGGTGAGGCTTAGAGCTTTTAACAAATTTCTTCTTGCCAGGATAGTTCATTATTTCAATAGCTTGTACCAAATACATACTGTAGATTTCTCATTATCAAAACAACACGGTGGCTTTTAAAAACCCAAGCATAAGAAATCCCATAAAAATAAACTTTGAATGGTCAGAGAAAGAGCCAGGGTTTTATTCTGGGTGTGAGTCACTTAAATATTACACCCAGAAATGCTGGATATATGTAAAAGTTTAACTGCAAAATTTAACACCTAAAATGTACACAGCAGCAGTCATTTTTTTGTCAATAGAGCTGTACTGTTTTCATAACCATTACTAAATTCTCAATAGGCAAAAGTCTAATCAAATTTATATGATCTGGTTTAAACATAGGTAACAACCTTTTTAAAAATGGTTGAATAGATTTCCCTATTAGAGGTGACATACAATACTATATTAGTTTCAGGTGTACAACACAGTGATTAGACATGTATGTAACTTACAAAGTGATCCCCCCATTAAGTCTAGTTCCCACCTGGCACCATACATGGTTATTACATGACTATATGCCCTGTCACTATTTTGTAATTGCCAGTTTCTAAATCCTTCTCACCCAGCCCACCGAACCCCCTCCCATCTGGCAGCCCTCAGTCTGCTCTCTGTATCTGTTTGTTTGCATTACCACCTTTGAACAACATTCAGAATATTTAATGCACAGGAGAAACATATACCAACATCAGCTCATGTTATCACCTGAAACCGACAGAACTTCAACCAAAAAACAGGAGGTCTTACAGGGGGGGAAAAGCACCACGAATGTTTGTTGGAAGTCACAAATGTTAGTGAGTAGACAACTGTGTAAATATGGAGTCCATGAATAATGAGAATCAACTGTACGTAAAAAATTATTTAAATGAAAAGTTACTAAAATAGCTAGTGTTGCTCAGTGGTTGAGCATCGATCTATGAACCAGGAGGTCAGTTTGATTCCCGGTCAGGGCACATGCCCAAGTTGTGGGCCGATCCCCTGTGTGGGATGTGCAGCAGGCAGCCAATCATTGATGCTCCTCTCTCTCCCTTCCTCTCTGAAGTCAATAAAAACATAAATTTTTAAAAATTACTAAAATATTTTTAATAACAGTTTAAGAAATTTAAGATATAAAAACTACACACCTTGTCTGGTGTTAATTTCATAAGTTCCATGTTTTCCATACTGTGTCGGCGTCCAAACTTGGGGCGTGCACCTTTGTAAAAAAGCAATTTAAATAAACCAGGGAGACCTTAACACTACAAATTCAGCATCACTCTGGCATTTGTCATTGAATTTAAAGTCTGTTACACAAACCCATATGGAAGTAGGAAATCTTACAACATGTTCTTTTAAGAATAATTTTCTAGCCTTAGCTAGTTTTGCTCAGTGGATAGAGCATCAGCCTGCGGACTGAAGGGTCCCAGGTTCGATTCCAGCCAAGGGCACATGCCCAGGGTGCAGGCTTGATCCCCAGTAGGGGGTGTGCAGGAAGCAGCCAGTCAATGATTCTCTCTATTAATGTTTCTATCTCTCTCCCCCTTCCTCTCTGAAATCGATAAAAAATATATTTTTAAAAAAACAGTTTTCTATAGAAATAGACTATGGCCTCGCTCTCAATAGACAATGGCCTTACATCTCTTGATGTAAGAAAGTTACATTTTGCTTGGAAACTAACTTGGGTTACTAACATTGACCCTTAATTTAGAAAAAGCGTTTATAATAATTGTCTTTGTATTATCTAACGTCTTAAAAATAAACCCAGACAAACTGGAGAGGGATTTAAGTAAAAACATAAGGAAAAGGCTTTAGGCCTTCAATTTTGGGATAAGGATAAAAATAACAGCCAAGCACTACATAACTTCAGTTACCCATTTCATTAGATGACAGGTTTACTGCCTGTCAGAAAGTATGTTAAAAAGTTCAACATTTCTTCAACAAAATTATCATTAAACGTAAAAAACTTTCATTCCACCTCAATCTTTTAAAGAGAAGCAATATTTTAAAAGGCATAAATAAGGAAAACATGATACCTACCCAACTTAAAAAATAAACTGTTGCCAACACATTAACTCCCCCAACAATGTCCCTCTCTCTTCCTATAATTTTTCATACTTTTATTAAAATATGTGTATAGCTAAGCAATAAAGCTTATTACAGACATTATATAAATGGTCTCATACTGTACACATCTTCTAACTCAGCGGTCGCCAACCTTTCAGACCTCACGGGCTACCGATTGGCGACCGCTACTCTAACTTACTTCCTTGGAGCACCCTTACATTTGTGAGACTCATCCAAGTTGATATGTATAATTTGGTTTAATTAATTTTCATTGCCTTTTTAAGACTAGGAAATTATTTACAGATTTGTTTTACTAAGACAGATATTTAGGTTGCTCCCAATTTTTTGTTATTATAAGCGATACTACTCCAGAAATTCCTGGACCTCTCTCAGTGTGCAAGTGTCTCTCCCAGGTTGGATCCTGGGCTGTGTAACTGGAGCAGAATTGCTGAACCATAAGGTTGGTACACCTTCAACTTTACCACAACGCTGCCAAGTTGTTCTTCAAAATAGACCAATTTCTATTCCGATCAGTATTGCATAAGACTCCATCACCCGTATCGTTTCAATACTGGTATTACCAGATCTTTCCCTCTGCTGCACAGGTTTCAGAATTACTTCGCTGTGGTTTTCCCTGACTCAATGAAGTTAAGTATCTGTGAGCACCTTTGGGCCGCTTGTGTTTGTTCTGTTCATCGCTTTTGCCCATTTTTTAGGTGGGTTATTTATCTTGGTCCTAATTCATAGGCGTTCTTACACAGTGAGAATACAAATCCCTTTTAATCGTACTGTGTGGCCTTGTCCTCAGTGTGTTTCACCTCTTTGTGGTTTCTTTTAACAAAGTTCTTAATTTCATCATCAGCCTTTTCCTTAGTGGTTTTGTTTTCTGAGACATCCTCCCCTCGGGCATCATGAAGATACACTGCAGGCAGAGGCGGCACAGCACAGCCTCAGGAGACCACGCCCTCCCGCGGGCAGTTCCTCTGACTCGGTGTTCGAGTCATAAAGACACGGCTGTGTGGGGTAATTCCTCATTGTCTGTAAGGGGTCAGTGCAATGCCTGACAGAGTCAGCAATGTCAGCCAGCAGCCTCGTTGCTGCTCTAAATGTTTTCCATATTTAAATCTTTAATCCAGCAAGGGTTCATTTTCTTGAGGTAACAGTTTCCATCTATGAAGGCATATGAGTATAGGTTGTATCTTTCCTTCCTCGGGTCTGTCTCTGTGCCTGCAGCACACTGTTCTAGTTACTGAAGCTCTAAAATCTTGTACCTGTGGATGATGTCAAGACATGATCCCATTTCTTGTTTTTTATGCTTTGCTTTCAGTTCTCAGGCTTCCCCCCCCCCCCCCAATATATATTGAATGAAAGTGGCCTCATCAAGTTTCCCAAAATAACTTGCGAATTTACATCAGTTGGGGAGAACTGACATCCTTAATATTTAGTTTTCTGACTTAAGTGATTACAGGGTTACAGGAGGCAGCCGATCAATGTTTCTCTTTCTCTCAAATCAATAATAAAAATTTTTTTTAAAACCACATTAAATTCACTGCTGGACCTGGTTTACTGATCACTCATTTAGAGTTTCTGCATCCACGCTCATGAGTGAAGACTGGCCTGTAATTTACCTTTTTTGTATTGTTCTGTCTAGTTTGGAAATCAAGGTTATACTGTTCTCAGAAAGACAGATCTACAGAATTTTGTGGAAGGTTGGAATCAATTTTCTTCAGTGCCTGGTAGACCTCACTAGTGAAATCATCTGGGCCAGGCATTGTGTTAGTGGGAAGTTTATGTCCACTTTTTTTCTTCCTTGAGTAACCTTGCTGTAGATCTGTTAGTCTTTTTATAAAGAACCAAATTTCAGATTTTAAAAATCTCCCACATCTTTGTTTTACTGTCATTAACCTGTGTTAATAAAATGTTGAACTTCCTATGTTATATATCCTCTGGATTTGGTGAACATGTGATGACCAATTTAAATGTGAACCTTAAGGATGCAGTTGAGTTTTGGAGACCTATTTCTTACCGTGCGAGCTGTTATCAATTTCAATGTTTTCAGACATCACTGAGGTGTTTGTGCTGTAGCTCAGCCCGAGAACCATCTGAAGGTCAGAGAGGTTCAGCCGTGCTGTGAGCTCGCCACTGCTGTCCCCGACCTGCAACCACAGCATGAATGTTAGAGGAGGGACAGAGAACGGTGAAGACTAGCTGAGAATGTTGTGAACCGACTGAAAACAGTTAATATTGGAATTAGGAGACTATGAATTAAATGGGATTTTTATAGAAGAAAAGGGAAGTTTCTAAAACTTGACAATAGGACAGCTAATTTTATTTGATCAGCTCTTTAGGTCTCTAAATATTAAATTGCTCTTAATCTGTGATCATCCTATATAATAAAAGGCTAATATACCAATTGACCAAATGGTGGAAATGACCAGTCGCTATGACATGCAATGACCACCAGGGGGAAGACGCTCAACGCAGGAGCTGCCCCCGGTGATCAGTGCGCTCCCACAGGCGCTCAGCCAGAAGCCAGGCTCATGGCTGGTGAGCACAGTGGCGGTGGCGGTGGCTGGAGCCTGCTGCCGCAGCAGCACTAAGGATGTCCAACTGACGGACATCCCCCTCGGGCTCCCAGACTGCGAGAGGGCACAGGCCGGGCTGAGGGATTCCCTCCCACAGTGCACGAGTGTCATGCAGCAGGCCTCTAGTATTAAATAATAGTGTGGCTCTTCTGTGACACATTAACTTGGCATCATATGAATTAAATTTCCTTAGAATATTTTATTTCCATACTATAGTAGTAGCTAACATTAAGCCAGCACTAGACATTATCTTAGGCATATATATGTGTGCTTATATGTATATATCATTCATATACTTTATAAAAAATCCTTACTCAAGGACTGATTTTTAGAGAGAGTGGGAGGGAGGGAGGAAGGGGTGGAGACAGAGAGAAACAGCAATATGAGACACATTGATTGGTTGTCTCCTGCCCTCGCCCCGACCAACTGGGGCCCAGGGATTGAACCTGCGACCCTTTGGTGCTGGGGTGACATTCTAACCACTGAGACCACTGGCCAGGGCCACTTTATATATATTATCTCATCCTTATGATGACTTGCAAGCTAGGTATTCCCATTTTATAGATGACAGAAGTGAGGCTCAGAAAGGTTTCTAAGCTCAAATAGGCAGATGGTAGGACTGTAGCAGGAGCCAGTCCTTGATTCTAAAAGCTTCTCCTCCACACATACTGCTGGTCCATGAACTGGGGGCGTGGTGGGCATATTCTGGTCCCTGGAAACCAGCCTCACCTTCCACATCAAGGCCAGTGCGAACACACCTCCAATCAGCATCTCAGATGCTGGGAACAAAATCGATTCGGCACTGGCCGCAGAAGAGCGATCCCGGCAGTGCCGGGCTTTCCCAGCAGCACAGACCAGCCTTTCGGCTCCTTACCTCTCTTGAAATCTCCAGGTGCTTTTCAGCAAAGTGCATGGCTTGCTCGTGGTTGCCTAGGGCTGTGTACGCATTTCCCAAGCTCCAGCACGCTCTCCCTTCACCGATTCTACGAGATGATCAAAGCAAACCTGCCGTTATCCGGAGGGAGGTGAGCGTGGTCATGCTGCCCAGCAGTAACTGAGGAACACACAGTGCTCCGCGTTTACGTGGTATTTGGTATAAAAAACCTACCATCTCAATACTAGAGACAAGCCAGAATACCCACAGTCCAGTGTTAAAACACCTTTTTAAACACACACTGTATGACAAACCAGTCAAGTTGCAGGGGTGGGTCTGTCCCTTGCCCATGTTCTCTGCAGCCCCAGTGATCATGCAGCCCGTGCCTGGGAACCATGGCGGGGGGGCGGGTGGAGAGTGGAGGATTCGCTGCCTCGGGCAATGTAAGAGAGTTTCTCCTCTGTCCTGAGGTGAAACCTACTTCCCTAACATACACAGCACAGACCACAGGCCTGCACATATATGCTGTTTGTTCATTCAGTGAAAAAAAGGAATTAGCCACCGACATTAACAATCAGAAGGCTTCATCTAAAACTCAGGACTTCTAGCTTCTCTTAAAAAGGGGGGCACTGGACATAAGGGACCTTCCTTCCTGTTGGCGACAATGAGCGGCATCAGGTAGCAGCCGTCCCCGTCACACGGGCCGTGCGTCAGTCCGCCCCATCCCACACTCGTCTGTCAGTGGTTGGACTGACCTAGTTACTGATCTGGGTTGAGGGCTCCCTGGGACCAGGCTAATCCCCTAACACATGCGAGCCTTCAAACAAAACTGTACAGAGGATGTTACTCAAACAAGAACTTCCTTAAAAAGGAAACAAAAGACACGTTACTAAAACACCTGTTTCACCGCCACCGCAGTAGCGAGGCGGGCGCTCACCTGTCCTTGAGCTCCTGCGCAATGGCCAAGTGCTTCAGGTGGTAGTCGATGGCCTTGTCGTAGTCCTGGAGCAGTGTGTAGGTGTTCCCCAGGCTGTAACAAGACTGCGCCTCCACGGCTCTGTCTTTGAGCTGCCGAGCCAACAGCAATGTCTTCCTGGAGAAGAAATTAACGCTGACGTAACCATCATCATCAACACTCACTTTTCTACCTGCCTGTCAAGCGAATCTGTTTTAGAGCCTAAGATCCTACACTTTCTCCAGGACTCCAGACTTTTAGGGTAGGTGAGAGTCCTGTTAGTTTTCCAGATAAAGGAGGAGTGACACGAGAGCAAGTGCTTTGCATGTGAACACTTGGTAACATGTAAGAAAACCTTCCCTGTTGCAGTGACAATAACTTAAATGAAGGGACAGTCACATACCCTCTCTTTCAATCATATGTTGCCTTTACATCTGTTTGAAATTTAAAATACTGAGTTAGGCCATTAGTCACAAACTCATGAAAAATATTTAGTGTGTTTAAAGATTAACCGAATTCTACCCAATGCCTATGGAACTGCCAATGAGAAGCCAGTGTAGCAGTTAGAGTGTGGGCCCCACAGCTAGACTTTCTGGGTGATACATTTTATTTGGAAAGAGTGATATATTTTATTTGGAAGCATATTTCATATCTAATCGGCCAACAAATATTAACCATTAATTAATATGTTTAAAGTAAGGTGGGATGACATTCTAGCTTTTTAGATGGACCTAAAGCAATTTTACCTTTTTTTAAAATGAAAAATATTCAGAGCTCTCTCACATTGGATTCTCTAACAATAAAATACAAATGAATCACTGTGTCTTTGGCTCATGCAACTGGATTCTGCCAAAGTCTGTACGGGCCTTAATCCCCACTAATTAGGGGAAACTCCAGACACCCCAGAAGCACAGAGCAGGCCACGCCAGGCAGTCTGCACACACTGTCATCCACGGACAGATCAGAAAGACCTGCCACAGAGGAGCCGGGACTGCCAGTCGGGTGAGCGAGGGCCAGAGGCGGCAGAGGGGGGCGGCAGTGGGAAAAGCCCAGTGACCGTGGGGAACAGCACACATTTTTGTTACCAGGCTTTCTTTTGGCCTCTCTGCAAATCAGTGAGAAAATGCATATAAATATACATATTACACGTGCTAATAAGCAAGGTAAGGGTTTCTTTTAAGAAGTTTTAAGGTAAAAGCAACCGTGTAAAGGGTCATAGTGCTGCCGTTAAGCCCCGGGCACAGTCATACTCACTGAGCACGTGCGGCCCTATGCTAAGGGAGCCCTTCATACAGTCCTCCAGGCAGTCCTCGCCACGGTCCGAAAGCAGGTGTGGTATCTCGTTTCAGGTGAGGACCCCGAGGCTTAGAAGCCCGGGTCCCACTGCCACTGTGCAGCCAAGCGCAGGTTCTGAGCCTCCGGTGACTGACAGGCTGCATACCTCTCACACTTACACAGAAATACCAGACTCACTTGTAGTAGTCAGAGGCCATTTCAAATTCACCAAGAAATATATATGCATTTCCAAGGTTGCTGTACGCTCTTCTTTCGGCTGCTTTATCCCCAAATTCTTTTGCTATAAGGAGACGCTGAAAGAGAAAGCTCAGGTGAGACAGAGCCATGACAGTCAGGAACAGTCTCATCCCTGCGGACACGGCTGGAGAAGCTGCTCCGGGTTTCTGCCTGCACTGACCTGCTCGTGGGCTATGACCGCGTCTCTGAAGTTGCCCAGGAGGTAGTGCGTGTTTCCCAGGTTTCCAAAGGCACGTCCCTGGGCGGCTCGGTCACCCAGAGCGGTCACCAGCGACAGGTTTTCCCTGAGAGCAGAAAGTTGTGAAAGGATAGGATGGGGGGTTACTTATTAGACTTACACATCTCAGTCTTTTGATCATAAAACAGTTTTTAGAAAAGCTTACAGCCACAACGTGCCACATCTTAAAGGCGTGTCTGTGGTGGAGAGTGGCTGTAGGAACCGGCTGGGGACACTTTACTAAACCATCTGGTGGGTTTCTGCCCAGAGTCAAGGACGCAGTCAGTCTGGAAACCCCTAAGCGGGCAGTCCTCTGAGATCCTACTGATAAGAGACTAAACTTACCCAAAGTAACTTAGACTTCTTTTTTCTGCCACTAAGTGGCGCTGGTCTGCAGTCCAAAAGGAAGCTTTTCTGGGGACACTAATACAACTCTGTAACCTTTCAGAACAATTTGGTTTATTTTTACTTGCTAGTCCAAACTTTTCAACCTCTGCCAAACCTTAAAGCTTCCTCTGGGGTAAAGAATGCACAGCACCCACTCTCACCACTCCTGTCGACATAGTACTGGAAGTATTAGCCATTGCAATTAGACAAGAAGAACAAATAAAAGGCATCCAAATTGGAAAAGAAGAAGTAAAACTGTCCTTATTCGCAGATGACATGATATTATACATAAAAAACCCTAAAGACTCCATCAAAAAACTATTAGACTTAATAAATGAATTTGGCAATGTAGCAGGATACAAAATTAACGCCAAGAAATCTATGGCATTTCTATACACCAATAGTGAACTTACAGAAAGAGACTAAAAAAGCCATACCATTTACCATTGCACCAAAAAAATTAAAATACCTAGGAATAAACTTAACTAAAGAGGTAAAAAACCTCTACTCAGAAAACTACAGGACATTGAAAAAAGAGCTAGAGGAAGACATAAACAGATGGAAGAACATACCATGTTCTTGGATTGATAGAATCAACATCATTAAAATGTCCATACTACCCAAAGCAATCTATAAATTCAACGCACTTCCCATTAAAATACCAACGGCATATTTCACAGACCTAGAACGAACTCTCCAAAAATTCATCTGGAATAAAAAAAGACCCCGAATAGCTGCAGCGATCCTGAGAAAGAAGAACAAAGTAGGTGGGATCTCAATACCAGATATCAAGCTGTATTACAAAGCCACTGTTCTCAAAACTGCCTGGTACTGGCACAAGAACAGACATATAGATCAATGGAATAGAATAGAGAGCCCAGAAATCGACCCGAACCAATATGCTCAATATTTGACAAAGGAGACAAGAACATACAATAAGAGTCAAGACAGTCTCTTCAATAAATGGTGTTGGGAAAATTGGACGGATACATGCAAAAAAATGAAACTAGACCACCAACTTACACCATACACAAAAATAAACTCAAAATGGATAAAGGACTTAAATGTAAGACGGGAAACCATAAAAATACTAGAGGAAACCACAGGCAGCAAAATCTCAGACATATGCCGAAGCAGTTTCTTCACTGATACAGCTCCTGGGGCATTGGAAACTAAAGAGAAAATAAACAAATGGGACTACATCAAAATAAAAAGCTGCACAGCAAAAGAAACCATCAACAAAACAACAAGAAAGCCCACTGCGTGGGAGAACATATTTGCCACTGTAATCACCGCTAGGGTTTAATCTCCAACATTTATAGGGAACTCATACAACTTAACAAAAGGAAGATAAACAATCCAATCAAAAAATGGGCAAAGGACCTAAGTAGACACTTTTCAAAAGAGGACATTCAGAAAGCCAAGAGACATATGAAAACATGCTCAAAGTCACTAATCATCCAAGAAATGCAAATCAAAACAACAATGAGGTACCATCTCACACCTGTCAGAATGGCTATCATCAACAAATCAACAAACAACAAGTGCTGGAGAGGATGTGGAGAAAAAGGAACACTTGTGCACTGCTGGTGGGAATGCAGACTGGTGCAGCCACTATGGAAGACAGTATGGAGTTTCCTCAAAAAGTTAAAAATGGAACTCCCATTTGACCTAGTGATCCCACTTCTAGGAATGTATCCCAAGAAAAAAGAAACACCAATCAGAAATGATATATGCACCCCTATGTTCATAGCAGCACAATTCACCATAGCTAAGATCTGATAACAGCCTAAGTGCCCATCAGCAGATGAATGGATTAGAAAACTGTGGTACATCTACACGATGAAATACTATGCTGCTCTAAAAAGGAAGGAACTCTTACCATTTGCAACAGCATGGATGGAACTGGAGAGCATTATGCTAAGTGAAATAAGCCAGTCAATGAAGGAAAAATACCACATGATCTCACTCATTCATGGATAATAGAGACCATTATAAACTGATGAGCAAAAATAGATACAGAGGCAGAGCAGCATCGAACAGACTGTCAAACTACAGCGAGAAGGCAGGGGAGGGTTGGGGGGCGGGAAGGGGAGGTAAGAGATCAACCGAAGGAATTGTATGCATGCATATAAGCATAACCAATGGACACAAGACACTGGGGGTGAGGGGGCGAGTAGGGGAGGCCGGGGGAATGTCAAGGGGAGAAAAAAAAAAAAAGACCTATGTAATACTCTTTGTAATACTTTAAGCAATAAAAAAAAAATTAAAAAATAAAATTAAAAAAAATAGAATGCACAGCAGACCCCCGGCTGGCAGCACGACTCACTCATAGAGATCCACGGCGGCCTGCAGAGCAGCGCGCACCTCCTCGGGGAAGTCGCCCGCGTCCTGAGCGCCGGGGCAGCTGAAGCTCTTCCCTTTGGCGTGGTACACGTTGCCCAGGTTGTACAGCGCTCTCGCCTCTCCCACCTGTGGAGACGGCGCAGTGTTACTTTCACCTTTTGCACCCGGAAGGCAGGTGGTGTAATGCCTACCACACGCTCTGCAATGTCCTGGACCTCATGGCCCAGAGGAAGGTTATGCTGGCCACCCACACAGGACCCACCAATGGCCGCCAGGAAGGAGGGCCTCTCACTGTTTACTGTCCCCTCTACTTGATCATTTGTATGGTGGTTCTGTTTTCTATGAGTATTTTCCTTTTGGTATTAACTTGATTAAATGATTAAACAGAATTAAAACACAAACCAATTCAGTGAAAATGTCCCCTTTTTTACCTTGTCGTTAAGTTCTCTGGAAATATCGAGGTGTCGCTGACAACAGACTACGGCTTCGTCAAAATTTCCAAGAACTTTCAAGGTGTTGCCCAGATTACCACTCGCTTTGGCTTCCCCCAGCTGGTCTCCAATCGTCCTGAAAAAAATAATAATAAAGTAAAGAACTTAAATCTAAAGTGGCCAGGATACAGTTTCCCTAGAGGACAACTAATGTGCTTATGTAAGAAAGACCCATTAGCCCTGAAACCTACTTTGAATAAAAATTTAAAACTTACATTTCTGTACTTAAATGTAATTAATTTTCACTCATTTAATTAAACTCTAGGGTCATTTCACTATTATTCATTCAGTTAATTAAACTCAGCCTAAAGATTCATTTTAAAATGCAATGCTATTTCATTAGAACTCACTAAATGTACTCAGTTGGTCTCTTAAATTGAATACAAATGTCATGAAAGTGACCATTTAGGGAGAGAGGACACTGAGAAGCTTAAGCCAATCACCTTGCAAGAGTGAGATCGTGATGGTGGTATTCCAGGGCTTTGGCGTAATCGTGCAGGTAGAAGTAGGCGTTGCCCAGCTGGCTGTAGATAGCACTGAGGGTCTTCAGGTCCTCGGTTCCCACCTGAACTGCGGCTTCAAAGAAGGACACCCCCGCGCGGCAGTCTCCGGCCTTGCACAGGCGCTCCCCCTCCAAGGCCAGCTCCAGGCAAGAGGCTTCCATTCTACAGAATGACACAGACAGCCACATCCGTCAGCACATCAGGGCCCCACGGCCTTCCCTTCCATACGCCATGCAAGTGTGGACTGTGGCTGCCCTGCTCAGAACAGCTGCCACCGTAACTGAAGTACCGGCATGACTGATAAACGGTAAGCCGTTACTTATGTAAGAGGTCACCTGCCTATTCAATGTCTGAGTCTCAGGTCTTTTATATAGAATAGCTAACTATTTCTACATGGAGCCCATTTTAATGGCCCTCCCCTCCCCCCCGCCACACACACACAAACACACACAGCAACCCACTTTACCAATGAGAGAACCTAAGAGTTCCCTAAACCAGCGGTTCTCAACCTGTGGGTCGCAACTCCTTTGGCGTCGAACAACCCTTTCACAGGGGTCGCCTAAGACCATCCTGCATATCAGATATTTACATGATGATTTATAACAGTAGCAACATTACAGTTATGAAGTAGCAACGAAAATAATTTTATGGTTGGGTCACAACATGAGGAACTGTATTTAAAGGGCCAGAAGGTTGAGAACCACTGCTAAACCGTTAGAGTTGTGGCAGACTTAGAGACTTCCTCAGGAAGATGGGGTGCCTGAGAAAGTGAAGGCCCACAATTATCCTCTTCTCGATCCAGGTGTCCAGGTAACCTACTCACCTGTCCATCACCCGCTCCTCCCATCCATCTTCCTCATGCACTCACTCTCCTCCCCTTCCCAGCGCCACACGTTTACTTGTACTTGGGAAAAGCCACACGCCATAAGAGCACTAAGTGTCAAGAAGCTACACATTAGAAAGCAAGGCTTAAAGATTCACAGAAATTCAGTTCTCAGTCTGTCACTGGATTTAAGTCAGAAGAATTAAGTTAACTAACTACATCCAGGGAGAAAAAGCAATGATACTTTGGATTCTAATCCTAAACATGAGTAGGTGTCGCTCACCACTGTGATTCTCCAACATCTGAGACTTCTGCCATGTCTGCGTTCCAGCTGTCATTCCCTTAAATGGCTTTCTGTAATTTGGCCAACGTCCTTCCAATGGCACCGTCATTAAAAAAATCTAGCTCATCCGAAGCAGGACTGTGAACGGAGTCTGGTGTGACACTAACGCTTGTTTTCTCATGGACATTAACGCACACATGTAGCTATTGAGACAGAAGAGCAAATAAAGTCCCCATGTCCCACACCTGGCATAGCGTCCCCCTGTGGAAGACTGGTTTAGCTCATCCGTCTTGGAGCTAAACCACTGAATGGAACCCACTGGGATTCGCTTTCAGCAAGTCTAACCGGGCGCTGGGCTTGGTCCTGGCGACAAATGAGGCCAGAAGGAAATCTGGACCAAAAAAACCCACAAAACCTGAGGAAAAATAAAAATCCGGACCAGGAGCAGCGAGCCCATTTCTGGTGCAAAGCCGGCCTTGGCTCAGAGCCCACGTGGCCCCCTGGGACGGGTCGGTCTCAAGCTTTCCAGCAGGAATGTGTTGTCTTATGATCCAGGGAGAGTGTTGCCCCCTCATCCGTGGATCTAAGCACAACCACGCAAGGGACCCTCTGCTACCACTTCGCTTCAGCAGCAGATAAGCCAGTCAGACAGGAGGGACGAGGGAGAGCACGTGGCAGTCGGTGACATCAGAAGCCTGACGACGCTACATTTAGGCCACTTCAAATCACGGTCTCTCTTTGTCATTCACAAGTGAAAACTGCCCTTTGGAACCATATTTTTGAAAATGAAAGAGTTCCTAAAAGAAAAAGTGTTTTGTTTAATGTTTACGAGGTTACTGGTATAGTATTTATTCTGTGTGTGACGAGAAGTGAGTCAGCGAAGTAGAAATGTGTAAAAATGTGATTTTTATGAAAGGTTCTTTCGCTAGATGAGGTGCCTTAACTAGTTGTCTTTGTCTAAATACCGAAACCACTAATTTCTAAGAATTATCACAGGGAAAAAATTAGAAAATATATTTTTACATATAAAAAATATTAATTTTTCTCTTAAAATACATTTCCTTTTTAAAATTGAGTTATCACCTGTTAAAGTGTGTATACATTTTTAGGGACACTACACACTCACACAGTGCAATTTCACTGCTAGGAAATGTATACATAATAGCTCCAAGCATGCAAATAAAAAAGCTGTATGTAAAAAAACACAGCCCACTCAATGTGCCATCGGCAGGGTACTGGTTAAAGAGGGCCCTGCCGCCAATCAGTGGGATACTGATGACAGCCCCTACTTCAGGGGGAGGGTCCCACACAGCACACCAGCAGCTCAGGGCCAGGAGGCTGCTGACCGGAAGGCAGGGAGAAGGCGGAACCAGGCAGAACGGAAAAATTAGAAGCTCGTCACGGTGTCCACATAAAACAGAGAAGCGTCTCCTCAGATCAGTGTCTTCACCACAAATACGGACCTCCTGAGCTTAAAGGTACACAGCGTTTCACTGAGCTGCCCGTCCAGACGACGGTGCAGTGAACACAACCTGGCTAAGGGCTGAGTGGTGTCATACGAGCTACGTTTTTAAAAAGTGTTTTGCAGGATTCCCGTTGGGAACAGCGACAGCACCTGGCTGTGCGGCTGCCCTTGAGATCCTCGGAGTGAGCTCCCCGGGAAGGCACTTCAGTCCCTGCGCCTGAAAGCGAGACCCAGACAAGCCTCTGGTTCATTCCCAGACACGTTATGGCTCGTGTATCTTACTAGAAAGAAGCCAATATTCTGGCAAAATCTCCAAGACTTCAATGAACTACATCTCAGTGCAAAACAGTCAAGGCAGGTTGGTTTGTAAATATTTTAGAAGATCATTAACTAGTAACAGAGAAAGTAATTTCATATCCTCTCGGTCTCTGCGAGAGAATAGAATTACTTCCTTTGTTTACCAGTTGGGCTGAAAACAAAGAAAACAGCCAGAGTAGAAGGCAAACCAGGAAAACTCCCCGCTGAAACCCATCCCACAGTTTCCTTTGTTCTTCCCCACGCCCTGCCTAATAACCACAAATAATCGGAAATGTTTTCACTTTTGCTGACTGACCACTACAGCTATAAGTCCTCATTTTCTGCACAACCTCACATTTCCATTTTTCCATTTTAATGTTTTAATATTATTTTTAACTTTCCTTCCATGCTAGGTTTTTTCTCTACCTCCTTAATTTTGGTTTCTTGAGTTCATAGTACATCAACGAAAGCAAAGAGGTGAGATCACTGGTGCTGCCTCATTTTAGAAGATTTAATGCGGATTATGTCCAAGTCTGACTCTCTGTGCAAAGGGCTCACACAGTATTTAAGAAGACAGACTCAGGACTTGAGACTCAAAGCCAGCCTGCTCTGCAGCGTCAGGCGTGCTCTGTCTCTGTGGTTGTCGCGTCTCCAGACCACAGCTCCGCCCCGTGTGTGCTCACTGGGCACCCTCATTTTCCATGGCCAGTCCTGGCTTGGCCCCACAATTTCCATCCATTTAATTTGCCACATATATCTAGTTATCTAGTTTATTTTGTAGAAGGGAAAAGCAGTGCAAAATCATCTTGATTTACATTCTGATTGTAACTTCGTTTTAAAAGTGATTTTACTACATATTATATCAAATTCAATTCTCAAAATAACCCTCTGAGCTATTACAGAGGGGAACCGTCAGACAGTGTAAGTGACCTTCTCAGGCTCATACAGAGGCAAAGCTGAGAAATGAAATCCATCTGTCTCCGAATCCAGCTCTTCCCACTACTTCACGTCACCACAAACTATTCTCAGAAAACAATTTTATTTACTTATTTTTCATTTAAAAAACCCGCACCCGAGGATGTGCTTTTATTCATTAGAGTGAAGGGGCACACTGCTCTTGGGAACCTTTAGCAAGACGGATAAGCATCTCACTAGGTCCACCTGATGGTTGTGTCCAGTGAAGTTCAATGGACATTCCATCGAGTGAACTGAGCCGGAGGACACGCGAGGCATGGCTGCCCTAAGGGAGCGAGTGGCCAAACAAGGAGTGGCCAGGGAGGAGGACACCGACATGTTTATGTGAGCAGACACCTTCGTGTTGCCACATGGTGCTGACAGACGCACGGGAGCACAGAGAGGGGAAGCGGTTTCCAGGAGGAGATCTCTGAGCCGGCTCTTAGCTGTTGGCGTGGCGCAGCACCACGCACTCGGGGAACAGAGCTCAGAGCGCAAGGTGAGGCCTGGAAGTCGGGGTGCAGGGACAGGCAGAGGCAGACAACGAAGACCCGCGGTCCATGTAAGCTCGCTCTGCCTGCAGGGACGAGGAGCCAGCTAGGGATTAGCTCTGTGGATTTAAAGGATGGACTCCAAGAGGATGAGAATGGGGGTCTAGAGGAAGGACGAAGGGGGACTACGACAGCAGTGGGGGCGAGGGGAGCGGGTCTGGATGGGTACATGAATCTGAGCAACACAGGAGGTAAACTGGCAAGTCTCCACACTGGATACAGCGCGGGAGGAGGTTTCTGGAACTATGCCCCAAAAAGTGGAATGAGGGCAATCCCTGTATTAAAAGCACATTTTAATCATGTTGAATACCTTCTGTTTTCTCTTATTTGAAACTTTTTTATTGTTAGTAAAGATGCCCTCCCCTTACCTGTACAAACTCCCTCGCCCCACGCCCTAGCGTGAGCCATCCGCCCCAGGACAGCCCACCCCGCCTCCTAAACGTGTGTTAACACAGCAGAGACCTTCACTCCTTAGAGATTTTGAATGTCCATTGCTGAATGTTCTCGTATTTATTTAACATTAACTTGTAACCATTTCTTTTTCTGTTTTTTGGGTTTTTGGTTTTTGGGTTTTTTTTTAATTTCACTGATTTCAGAAAGAGGAAGGGAGAGAGGGATAGGAACATCAATCATCAGAGAGAATCATTGATCAGCCACCTCCTGCAAGTCTCCACCTGGGGATCGAGCCTGCAACCTGGGCATGTGCCCTGACCTGGAATCGAACAGTGACCTCCTGGTTCATGGGTGGATGCTCAAACACTGAGACACACTTGCTGGTCAACTTGTAACAGTTTTGATAAAGAAGTTATTGGTATCTAATCACCTTACTAAAAATTATGTCTTCCATTCTAATATTTATGTTTGTGTTTATTTTACAGTTTAGTGCAATGACCAGAACTTCCAGAATAAATGTTAAGTAATAATGAAGCAGATATTCTTGCTTTGTTTCCAAATGTACAGAAATGTCATTAATATTTTATCACTAAATATAAACTGGCTATTAGCTTATCATGTTTAGAAAAGTATCCACACATTTCAATGTTAATTCCCATTTTTAAAAAAGCTCATTTAGAACGATCACCATTTAAAATTTAACACAAAATGAGGTCATTCAGCTGACCACGTTACAAAATCCATCTTTTACTGCCAAAGATTTAGAAATATTTTTCAATTTTATATTTGCATCATAGAAAGAGTTATAAAAATATAAAGTATCCCGGGTTTCGGCACCAAAAAAAAATTTTAAAAATAAAATAAAAATATAAAGTAACTATTGATAAACTCTTCCACAGAACAACAGAAAACAAACTATATAGTATATAATTGGTCTCTACACCATTTTCCTATAGAAAGGAAATAAAAGCTTACAACCACCACAACAAAAGAAAACGGTGTTTATAGGAGGTACTAACTATGGCTGGTATATTTTGAATATTTTCAAAGTTAAATCTGAAATGATCAGAGTTAAATACATATTTAAATAAGGATGAAAAACCACCCAGGAAGAAAGCAGCTCTTACCTGTAACGAACATGAAAAGAATGGTCTTCCCTCATGCTCACCAAACTCTCCTCCATCGAGGCATACTACAAGCTGCGCGCAATGGGAAGCTATCTGACTCTGGGCCAATCGTCCTGTGCGAGGTAGGCGTGCTGCACAAAGTGTCCGGTTAGCAGAGGAACGGACTGGCGTTAATGCATGCTAAGCTGCTGCTTCTTCTTTATTAACAGTGAAAGGAGGTCAGTGTCAGGCAGCTTAAGGTTCACTGGGCCCCAAATCCTGGCATCTCTGGCCCTTTCAGCAGCACTTCAGCAACATTTCTGCAAAAGGAATACAAACGCTTTGCTTGAAGTCCTGTTTTCAGAGAGTAACCTGAAGTGATCCCAAGCTGGGCCTAGTCACACAGCACAAGGCGCAGTCGCCCTCTTGGAGAGAGAGAGAGAGAGAGAGAGAGAGAGAGAGAGAGAGAGAGAGAGAGAGAGAGAAGAGAGCCGAGCCTGACTGTTGTTGCCAGGAGCCTCTCAGTAAGGGTGCACATGAGGCTTATTTCAGAGCTACTCTCAAGTTCAATTTTAAACTGGCTTGAAATACAATTTTATGTCCTATTTTCTTTTATAAACAAGTATAGAATATGTATATTATCTAAAAACAAAAGTATGATATTTTAAGCTTTTAAAAACCACTATTAACAAGTAAAATGAAAATTCAATAATTACTAGTATTTGAACAAATTGATTCTAAACTCTGCAAATTTCTTTCTTCAAAGAAGATATTTGTGCTGACATTTAGGCTATACTTGTATTCATTTGCCCTCAAAGTATATTGTATTTGAACTCATTAAGGCCTTTAAAATGTTTTGATTACTATTGAGTAGGTACAAAGAAAGTTAGGAACTATGTGTATGGTAGGATGACCCAATGAACACTTCTATACCACCACCCGGGCCAAGACACAGAACATATCACTGCCTTTGAAGTCTCCTGGCACGTCAACCTAATCCATCATATTTCTTTCCCCTCTCAGGTGGTACTGGCATCAAAACGGACACTGAGAGCAATGGGACAGAACAGAGAGCCCAGAAATAAACCCACGCTATCTGCTCAATTAATCTATGACAAAGGAGGCAAGAATATACAGCGGGGAAAGACAGTCTCTTCAATAAATGGTGCTGGGAAAACCAGACCGATGCAAAAGAATAAAACTGGACCAGCTTCTTACACCATATACAAGAATAAACCCAAAACAGATCAGAGACTTAAATTAAGACTCGCAACCCTGAAACTCCTAGAAGAAAACATAGAGGCAGTAAACTCTGTGACATCATTCTGAGTGATATTTGGGGGGAAATGTCTCCTCGAGCAATGAGGCTGCATCAAAATAAAAGGTCTTACGCAGCAAAGGAAACCATCAACAAAACAAGAGGACAACTTTCTGAAAGGGAGTAGGTATTTGCCAGTGACACATCCAATAAGGGGTTAACATCCAAAAAGATAAGGAACCTCATACAACTTAACCACCAGAAAAACCAAACAACCCGATTTAAAAATGGGCAAAGGAACAGAATAGACATTTCTCCAGAGAGGACACACAGAAGCCAACAGGCATGTGAAAAGATGCTCAACATCACTAATCATCAGAGAGAATTTTTGTTACTGTTAATCCTCATCCAAGGATATTTTTTCCATCGATTTTTAGAGAGTGGAAGGGAGGGGGAAGACAGGCAGAGAGAAACATTGATATGAGGGAGACATATTGATTAGTTGTCTCTCACACACACCCCAATTGAGCTCGGGATCAAGCCTGCAACCGAGGTATGTGCCCTTGACCAGAATCAAACCCAAGACCCTTCAGTCTGCCGGGTGACGCCTCTAACCACTGAGAAAACTGGCTGGGGCAGAGAGATGCAAATTAAAACCGCAATGAGATATCACCTCACACCTGTCAGAATGGCTACCATCAATAAATCAACAAACAGCAAGTGTTGGCGGAGATGTGGAGAAAAGGGAGCCCTCGCACACTGCTGGTGGGAATGCAGACTGATGGAGCCACTATGGAAAACTGTTGATGGGATTGTAAACTGGTGCAGCCATATGGAAAACAGGATGGAGATTCCTAAAATAATTAAAAATAGGGCGGAGCAGGTGGAGGGGTCAATGGGTAAAAAAGGGCATATCTGTAATACTTTCAACAATAAAGATGAATTAAAAAAAAACACTAAAAATAGAACTGCCATATGATCCAACAATTCTACTTCTAGGTATTTAACTGAAGAAATAAAAAACACTAATTTAAAACCCTAACCGGTTTGGCTCAGTGGATAGAGCGTCAGCCTGCAGACTGAAAAAACACTAATTTAAATATATATGTATGTGTGTGTATGTATGTATATGTATGTGTATGTATGTGTGTGTGTGTGTGTGTGTGTATATATATATGTGTGTATATATATATATACCCTTACGTGCCCTGCAGCATCACTAGTAATAGACAAGATATGGAACCTAGATATCCATCAATAAATGAATGGATAAAGAAGATGTGGTATATATCCACAATGGAATATTATTCAGACATTAAAAACAATAAAATGTTGCCATTTGGGACAACAGGGATGGACCTAGAGGGTATTGTGCTAAGTGAAATAAACTAGAGAAAGACAAATACCACATGATCTCACTTATATGTGTAATCTAAAATAAATAAATAAATGAATAAGCAAAACAAAAACAGACTCATAGAGATGATGATGGTGGTGGTTACCAAAGAGGATCGAGTAAGGGGATGGGAATTTTAAATAAAAATAATAAAAATTAAAGGAAAAAAGACTTCATAAAGAACCATTTTAAAAATAAAACAAGCAAGAAGACAAGAATGCTATTCACCATTTTACTGGGACAATTTATAATATGGTTTAATTATACTCAAAAGAAGAGTATCCTCAAAAAAAAAATCACTCTTACATTACAATCTCCATAATTAACAGTTCTTATCTTAAAATTACTCATTGAACAAACAAGCAATTCTTGATTCAATGATTTGTGTTGTAAGAACTCTCTGACCAATTTAGTAACAATGTGTTCATTCATCCTCTGCATTGCATGGAGTTAACAAATCCATGTCATACTTTAACACATACTTTATATCTTAGTGCTACAGCTATTATATCTATCCGTTTACCAGTTTAATACTAATAAAATGTGCAACAGATATTAAATTATGAATGGTTCATTCGGATAAGAAAATGTAATGACACGACCAGGAAATGGAATGGAAATTAGAGTTTTGAAAGAATATTAAGAAACCATCAAGTTTAACCTCCAACCTCTATTAAGATTTAATAACCTGTAATTTGTAAGGAACACATATATCCTTAATAGCATCTCCCAGGTTTTAAAGAACAATGCTCCAAAACCTCGCTGCTAACAAAACGGTTAGCTCAAAGCGTCTTTTTGTCTGACTGTGGAGAAATGAAGAGAAAGCAATAATCTTTTCCATACCCTAGAAACTGACAGAACCATACAGAAACATCAACTAGTGCATAACTCTGACTGCCTCACACGTAATTACCTGACTAGGGAGTCAAAAAGGCGACTCCTGTCCTACAGCCAACTGGACTTCCGGGCACTGTCCAAGGTACACAACCTGCGTAAACAAGTCCTAGGCCTGCTTTACTCCACGACAAGGACATATTTGCAAACTAGGCGATGGGGGAGAAGGGGGTAGCCAGGGGTGAGCAAACTTTTTGACTCGAGGGCCACAATGGGTTCTTAAACTGGACCGGAGGGCCGGAACAAAAGCATGGATGGAGTGTTTGTGTGAACTAATATAAATTCAAAGTAAACATCATTACATAAAAGGGTACGGTTTTTTTTTTTTTTTTTAGTTTTATTCATTTCAAACGGGCCGGATCCAGCCTGCGGGCCATAGTTTGCCGACAGCTGGCCGGTAGATAGTTACATTATGTCTTTTGTAATACTTTCAACTTATCTAAACTACTTCTGATTCAACTCAAGTGCCTGTAACTTTTGTTTAGATTCTTTCACTTAAGTGCATACTTCTAAAAACTGGAAACACCCATCAGACAAAAAAATATAACTGACTTTTCTTGCCTTTAGGTGAGATCATTTAAATTCATTTAAACTTATCCTAATAATTCCTTCTAAGATACAATACTCAAATTCTCCAAATCCCTTTCAGTTGTAATGTTTCAAGTCAGATAAAGGAACTCTTTTTCAATGAGTGTGGCTAAATATTGAGAATCAAGAATATACAGGGTGTCCCCCCCAAAAAATGTATACACACTTTAACAGCTGAGAACTCAAATTATCACTCCTTTTCAGGTTTAACTGATTTGAAATAATAAAGCCAGACTAAGCTTTAAACAAAGGAAATTTATCCTAAAATGCCCCATGGACATTTTTTATGGGGGATACATAAAAAAATAAAGTTTACAGTATAAAACCAGGAACAGTTGATGAATTGAAGAATCAATACTCAATAAAATGATTCTTGATGTTTACAATCCCATTGCTTTGTGTTATCAGCAGTGCCTGGACCAGAACAGCTACCAGTTTAAAAACAGGCATTGACAAAAAAAAAAGTATTTGTTTCAATAGATTCTTTTACATTTTGAAAATGAACTGTATGTTAATAAACACGAATTTTATAATTATTCAAGTGTGTACACATTTTTAGGGACACCCTCTATTTTAAAATGAAGTTCTTCTCTATTAGAATTCAGGGTACAGCTTATAGTAACAAATGCACATCATAGTAAGAATCCTATATAATAAAGAGCTAATATGCAAATAGTTGTCACTCCCTCACACCATCAGGTGGTAATGGCGCAGACACTCAACACTGGGGAGAGAAGAATGGGGACCAGCCAGGCACAATTGAGCTCGTGAGAGAATAATGGGGACCAGCCAGGCTGCAGCCCAAGAGAGGGACAAGTCGCCCGCCCCGCAGTCCTGGGCGCTAGCAGCTGCAGCTGCAGCCCAGGCAAAGCCGCCTGCCCATGGTCACCTGTGGCTGCGGCTGCGGCTGGCCCGGGAAAAGTCGGCCCGGGTCCTGGGTGCCTGCAGCTGGCCAGAAGGAGGGAAACCCACGTCCCAGGTGCCTGAGACTGGCCAGAGGAGGGAATCCTGGGTCCCGGGTACCAGGCAAGGCAGAGGCAGTTAGGGGCGATCAGGCAGGCAGGCAGAGAGGTTGGGGGCAATCAGGCAGGCAGGAGAGCGGTTCGGAGCCAGGGGTCCCAGATCGAAAGAGGCAATCGGACATCCCCTGAGGGGTCCCAGATTGGAAAAGATGCAGGCTGGGT